AGCCTTGTAGATCGTGTGCTTCTAAAAGGTAAGTTAAATCGTAGCCCATTATTATATTTACACGTGATATAAAATTACTTAACCTGCTAGAGTTGATTTGCTATTATCATATCGATATACATGATTTACGAATTGTAATTATGATTAATGTGTTCTATTAGTTTTCAGAAGCATTTAAACAAATTCGACAACTAAGATCAAATTTACACTATATAAGGCTAAAAAATTTTGGTGAGGTTAACATTTATAGTTTAATATGTTAATTTAGTAACTAAAATTTAAATCTCGGGAACAAATGCTTGGTTTTTAAATTTTATTAAATTTTATATAGGAAAAAAATTCAAAAAATGCGGGTTTAATAGAAAGAGAAAAAAAACAAAATAAAAATTAGCTTAGAAAAAAAAAGAAAAAAAAAAAAAAAAGACCTTTTTCCTATTTTTCTTCAGTATCAATTTTCCTTCGCATCGATTTTCTTCGCATCAATTTTTCTTTGCCATCGATTTTTAACTTAGCATCGATTTTTACTTGTCATCGCCCAACTTAGTTAAATTTCACGATGATCTTAGATTTATTATATATACTTTAAATATTCTATAGAAGTTGGGCAAGTTAGATTATAAATTCACTATAATAATTATATATAGTTATTTAGTGCTTTATATTCATTAATTTAGTTAAAAACTTTTTAATTAACTGTGTGTAAAATAAGATTGAAAATATTAAATAAATAAATATATATATAAGATACTAATTATACTTAACTATATTTATAGTACGTATTTAATACAATATTACTGTATATGTATTAAAATTATTTTTTTTCTGCTTTATGTACGTATCAAGAATATTTTTTATATTTTTTTATATTAAGCTATATACTATATATTAGAGTTATACGCATGCATTAATACATAGCAAATTAGCAATTATATTAATTAGATTTAATTATATATTGCGCATATACATAGTTCTAACACAATTTATAAAAATATTAGCTATCCATCAAATAAGATGGAGGTTCTAAATTATCTGCAAATAAAGTAATCAAATCCCATTTAGCTAAAGTATCATCTGCAGGATGAATATTTCTTCCAGCTAAATTAAAATCTTCGTTAAATTCATCATTTAGAAAAATTTGATCTCTTGCATCATCTACACGATTTTCACTTAAAGTTGCATTAATCCATTGATTAATAATCATCATCCATTGATCTTCTTCTTCAACTATAGATTCATCTATACTATTTTCTGGAACTTGAATATTTATATTTTCATTTTCCTCAATACCATTAATATTCTCATTCGGTTCTAATTCATTTTCTTCAAAATCAAAAATTGGTGTTGCAATACGAAACTTTGACATTTGTTGATTATTTGCTTTTGAATTGTTACGATTAAACAAAATATTGCTACGTATTTGGCTCATTGCCAACACTTTTTCAGGCTAATAAAAAAAAATATATTAATAATAATAGATTTAATAACTTTTTAATAATTGTAATATAAATAAATTTATACCGATAGCCTATTTCGTTTATTTGTATGCAAAAAACCCATAGAAGACCAAAGCCTTTCAACTGATGCAGAATTAATACATATTCCATGAATATGTATTGCTAATTTAGCCAATTCGGGACCAATACCTGCTGTAGATTCCCAAAAGTCAAGTAAATTTCCTTGAAATTGTTGAAATGACACATTATCATAAGGATCTTCCTCATGTTTATACTTAATCATTTCACTAAGAATTGATCGTGATGGTAAATTAAAGAATGCCTGAAAATAATACTTTAGCCATTGTCCAATATGCGTCCAAGTAAGATTCATAACAGTATTATTAAATTTAGAAAGTTTGTATGTTGGATGAAGAACAATAGACAATAATAACAATGGCTGTTCCCAATATTTCCAACGATGTTCTACTCGATTAATCATTTTTTTAGCAAAATCTTGATTTGGATGGTTTGAAAAAATTTTTACTGTATAAGTAAAACAATATACAACTTCATATAATCTTGCAGTATCCTTTTGTAATTTATTAAGAAATCCACATAAAGGATATAGCAAATCTTGTAATAATGATAAAACTTTCCAAAATTCTGAATCATTAATTATATCTGCTATATCATCAGGTAATTTTCGATCTCCATTATTATGCTTTAAACTTTTATTTGCTGGTATAGTTGGAATACCATTAACTCGTAATACACTTAATCTATGTTCATTATATCTAAGCGAAAGAAATTTTAAAGCAGCATGAGTTTTTATAATTGAATAAAAACAAAAGTAATAAGAGCACCAGCGAGTATCTCCAGGAGATACTAGTGAATTTTTTTTTTATAAATTCTTATTTGTTCTTCCCACAAAATACCCATAAAATATGTAGAACTATGAAAAAATCCAACAATTCGTATTGCATCCTTTGATATACGTTGAAATAATTCATTTTCTTTAAATATATCTCCAAAAACTAGATTCATTTGATGGGCCATGCATGGAAGAAATATTTTATCAGGATATTTTCGTCGAAGTTGGCGTCTAGCTGCTTCATACTCTCCAGCAGAGTCAGAAACAAAAGCATTAATTTTTATATTCTTGTTTTGGGTATCAATCATTAAATTTTCTATAAGTCATATAACATCTGTGCGTGATCGTTGTGCACTAATTTCTTGTGCTTCCCAAACTAATGGTTGTCCCTGTGAAGTAATCAAAACCACACCCCAGATACGTTCATGTTTTACATTAGTCCAACTATCAAATGTTGCAGTAATACCATTTGTATTATCTTGTGCAGTTTTTAATATTTCAATTTGCAAATTTTTTGATGCTTCAACTAAAATTCTTTCTCCTAACATTCTACGTTTTGGCAAATTAAAACCTGGCATAACAAAATCAAATAATGCTTTTGTTTCTTCATTTTCTATAAAAGAAAATGAAATTCCATTGGAAATACACATTCTAAGTAATAAGTTTTCAAAATAAGGTACATCTTTGCTTGATAATGGACGTCGAAAATGATCAGATGATGTTTTACTACTATCTGAAGAATCAGTAGTAATTAAATTTTTTTGCCGTTTAGAAGTTAAACTATCTTTTAATTATAAAACAGTTAATAATTACTATATAGTAATTGTCAATTATATATAATTTAAATATTTTACCTTCATTTAAGGTTTTTCGGCTACAGATCTTGCTAATATTTTAGCTATTTCATTTTTATTGAATGCTTCTTTAAAGTTTTCACACTTAGCTA